CTTAATTATTGGTCAAATACATATATTTGACCATACTATGAGAAAATAATTACAAGATCGCCATTAATGATTGACTATTTTTAATTAAGTTTGACTCCATCATGGCCATTGATGTAGTGAATCTAATGATCCAAATTTATTCTTATTTCTTTCATTGTGATTCATTCTCATTTGAGCGCACTTCTTATGTATAATATATATTATTTATTTAGTATTATATTATTATATATATTATATTATATTCTATTATTATAATCAATAATATATATTATATTATTATATATTAAATAAATAAATAATATATCAAATTACGTAGTACAATAAAATATATTATTTGTTTAATATATAATATATTCTTTGTTTAATATAATATAATATATACTATATATTTAGTATAATATATAATATATATTATATATTTAGTATAATATATAATAAAATGATGTTTGTATATATATAAATGAAGTCAGATAATTAACATAAGTTGTGTTGGGTCAAGTGGTTCATAACCACATGTTTTATATAAGAGGTACAAGGTTCGAATCCTCCCCTTTGCATTATTTTTGCAATTCTGTAAGCCTGCCACGTGTCACAATTTGCCACATGGTCGCTGACGCGGACACACGTGGTCGCCATGTCAGCTTTCTGTTAACGGCCGTTAACGGCGTGTATCATTTTGCCAAAAATGTAAAGGTCATGTATTTTTCTGACAAAGTCTGCAAGTCGTGATTAAATTGTCAAACACGTAAAGGTCGTGTTAAAACCTGCCATTATGCCTTAAAATTATCCTTAAGCTTTCACGACTACCACCAGATGCTCGATCATGCGCCGGACTGACTTCGTCACCTAAAAAGAAGAAAAGTGGGGGAGTGAGTAAAACCACTATGCTCTGTAGAAACCGAATATACATCACGAATAATATCAAACCATGACATCAAAATATATATAAATAAACTAGCTATTGAGACTTTCGGACTCTCTGGTACTCATGTGCACACTCTGGGGGTCTCCTCTCACATAAACCCAGGAAAAATGCACTCTCACCACCATCCGAGCGCTCGAATTAGGACGGGCACACTCACCACTATCCATGTCATAACTAAACTTGACACTGGACGGACGCACTCATCCATCCAGGTCAACAATCTACTTACACACATACCTCAGACATGATAAGCGATTATAGGCAATGAAATACCCAGTACAGGGTCCCCACCCGATAGCTGATGAATGCAAGTGTTGAAAATGTGTAGCTGGCAAAAGCTCTACTCTCCTTAAGCTACAAAATATTTAAGTAGATATTTTCTAAGTACTAAACTCAAATTGAAAAACTCGACTCTTAAATAGTTGATCTTTATTTAATTGTTCTCTCGCTCGGTTTTGAAAACATTGAAATCTCATTAGACTGAATTTAATGGCTTGCAGAAATATAAAAAGTATGAGCTAATTGAACAAATTCTATCTAGAGGCTGTCTAAGATTCTCAGAAAATTCTCTAAGTCTGGAACTAATTATCTGACTTAAAGTTGAATTGAGTCAAATCTCGCCTCATGCTCGAATTGAAATTCCGAACCATCAATCTTGAAATGTCCCGGCTTGCCTGAATAGGTTCAGATTAGACCGGCGGCTCGCTCGGGAACTAGCCAGTGGCTCGATGCTAGGTGCCCGACTCGATCGCGGTCAGGGCCCGCCGGCACATCCGCTCACGGGCACGCGCGGACACTGCCGACATAGACTCGTCGGCGCATGGGTTCATAGGATGCCACGACCATTGGCGCAGGGGTGCTGCAGAGCATAGGNNNNATCGGCCGTACTCAGTGCAGGGGCACACACTCGGCGACGGTCGACTCCAGGTGACGGGGCACGGACAAGGACGCACGCGGAAAGAGGCGCGTGCGTGGAAAGACGCACGCTACATGGACGGGTGCGTAGGTACACGCTGGCTGGTGCGCGTGCAAGGCATGCTGCGACCTTGGCTCGGTGCAACTCGGCGTCAACGAGGCACTAGGCCTTGGCAACACGCTGGGACAGGGACTACGACCTTGGCCGGCGACTTCACCGGCCGGCCGACCACTTCCTCCGACAACTCTCTAGACAGAAAGGTTCCTTATGAAGTTTATAGTTCAAATAGGCTATTAGGGTTCAGAATATTATGCTCGGATTTTAAAATCACTCGATATTTAAAAATGTCCCGATCTAGGGTTCGAGTCCTCCAGTCATCCTAACTCATTTCAAGCTGAAAATTTAACTATAAACTCAACATGATGTATGAAGATTTTAGATCTATCAACTTCAACAAAAATGCATCATTTAAAGCCTCTAAAAATTCACCAAGTTAGACATAAAACTCGATTTTTGAAACCATATCAAACGACCTCCAAAATTTCTCAAATTTTATACACAACCTCAAAATAGTATATAATATTTTTGGGTAAAAGATCTCAACAAGTTCAGATCTATCATTCGTTCAACATAAAATATCCATTTTAGATCTAGATCTACTGTTCAATTTCACATAATCGAGATCCAAAAATTCTAAAATTGAAACCACAACATCAACACTATATTCTAAGGTTTATTAAGTTCTAATCATAATTTTTGGACATGCATAGCTCAAGATACAAAATTTAAACAATAAAGGCCTAAAATTTAGATCTCTCATTCTTACACCATTTTTCTTGATTTCATCATATTTTTTAAAAACTTTAATATTTATATCTAAGCCATAAGAGGGGGCTATAGGTGATTAACTTCTTCAGGACTTAGATCGGGAAAATAGAAAGTGACTAGGGGCTAGTTGCGGGTGGCTTCGCTTGTTGTGGGCCTAGAGGCGTGTGGATCTGGGTTGTTGAAGGCGTCATACGCTGGGAGCTGGACTAGGGCTGCTGCTGCGTATAAAATAAGGGCGTGCGTGTGGCTCAGGTTCACGACGCACGGTTGCGGCTCGGATGCACGAAACTCGGGTCGCCGGAGTTATAAGGGTGGCTGGATTTGTGTGGGCTAAGGGGAATGATTTTGGAACTTAGAAAATTTTAGAGTGCTTTAGGATTTTTAGCTTGAGTGTATGGTGAAGGAGAAATTAAGATGAAGGTCATATATATATATATATATAGATATATATATATATATGTGTGTGTGTGTGTGTGTGTATGTGTGTGTGTTTGTGTGTGTGTGTACACATAAATGAATTAGGGTTAGGGG